GAACCATTAAGTTGCAAATTAACACATTCAGGTGTAGTCCTTTAAGGCCGACTAATAATTGGATTTTCTCACGCTACCACCCCATAAATAACAGACCAAACCACATAATATCATTTTAATGGTGGATATTAAATCTTAAGTAATTATTAATAACTACCAAGACTGGCTAATATAATAATTCTTTCGCGTGACCGTGATTCTGAATTAAGCCATTTACTTGGATGCGAGGTGAAAATTGATAGGCGCTTGAATCATCGTCATGTTCTATTTGTTCATATTGTTTAGAGCTTGTTGGAATATCTTTTTTCTCTTGCGTTCAACATAAAAGTCGGCCTTCTTTAATAGAGAACTAGTGAAGTAATTTTGCAACTTGTCTTCGTTAGTTAGAGCACCGGAAAAACTCCGCTAATGCAATAAATTCTCATTGTTCTTGTAAGAATGGCCATCGCTAAAACTTCACACGCATGAATAATGAATGTATGAATAAAGATAATCAAATACCAAACCCAAACTTAAGTTAACTGGGAAATTATGTCAGTGGCACATGACGACACTTGCGTAATCTTCCTTAAGAGATTTATTCTCGTTCTTCATTCGGCCAGCCCAACAATGCAAATACTAATGGCTTTTAGGTAATGGGCAGTTACTGTGCTTGTGTAAAATGCGCTTCATGCTTTGTGAATTCTTTCATTTCCATCTACGCATTCTTGGATTTGAAAAGGAGAAAGTGTCCACAATGGTTTGCAGCCACATTAAACCGACGTGTTAATTTGTAAATTCACATGTGAAATAAGCCGCAATATTCTTTGATTTTGAACAGCTACATTATATTTGAAATTTTCTTCACTTCAGTCACTTTTAAACAAAATTTGTCTCGCATCAGCAACTGATTTTTTTATTGATTAACATTTTTTAAGCGGCAGCAAAAACTTGAAAATCAGCTCAAGCAGCAGCGTCAACTTTCTACAAAGTGTCAACACTATTTTAGTCCACTTTAAGACCAAGTTTGATTCTACTTGATGATTGAAGGAAATCTTACAAAATCTTACATCTTCACAAAGAAAAATTCATAACTCCCAAACTAGCGGGAGTAACATGCTCAAATTTCTATACAATGTCAACATGCAATATAGTCACGAAAGCTCTGAGTTTGACTCTAATCTGAGTATGAACTGATTTTTCACAATCGTTTATATATGAGGCAGCACAAAATCCTAAAAATGTTCACACGCTCACAACAAAAAATTCCTAACTCTCATAAAAACTTGACCAACCAACTGAAATTTCTACACAGTATCAATACAATATAGCACAATCTAATAGCCGAATTGCACGTAAAACGGAAAATCGCCTAATTTTTCCCAAACGTTCATATTTTCCGCTGCAAAAAAATCTTGAAAATTATGACACTTTTACAAGAAAAAATTGCGAGTCTCCAACGCGATCAGAACTTTTGTTGAAACTTCTTCAAAGTTTCAACACAATAGAGAGCTATATGGAGTCCAAATTTCACTGAAATCTGAGAATCAACTAATTTTTCTCCATGATTGTATATCTCCTATAGTTGCAATTGCAAGGAAAGTTTTAAAAAAATTTTGTACCTTCACAAAAAAAATCAAGACTCCCAAACCAAAATTTTAGCTGCATCCCAGCATCAACTGATTTTTCACTATTGCTTATATTGGAGGCAGCAAAGCCAGTCTTTAAAATTCTCAGACTCTTGCAAAGAAAAATTCATAAATCACAAACGATCCTAAACAGCCTGCTCTACTTTCTTCACAGTGTCAGTACAAAATAGGTCCACATACAGTCCAAATTTCACAAAAATCCAGATATTAACTGATTTTTGGCAATTGATTATATTTGAGGTGATGACCAAATTCCAAAAAAAAATTCACACGCGCTTAAGGAAAAATCCCTAACTCCCAAAGAAACTCAAACAGCAAGCTGAAATTTCTCCACAGTGTAGAGCCACGTACAGCCGAATATTTCCATTAATAAAACCGTATAAAAAATGATAACAAATGCCGAATTGAATTGTCAATAATTCATTTGCCGGTTAAAATCAATAGTTCAGGTCTAGACATTTGAAACATGGATAACGGTAATTCCGGTCATCTTTTTAGTAATCATCAAATTAACATCAATTTCGAACTAGGCCAACAAGTTCACTAATACATTTATTAGATGTGTAGTAATAGTGGTCGGGTTTCTCTCGTATTCTTTGGCCAAAAGTAATTCATTAACGATACTGAGTTTCGGCAAGCCTTCGAATCTTTCGATGATTAGTCATGAGCTGTGAAGCGACGAAAATAAATAGTTTCAGTAGAATCACACCGAGACGGTCTAGTTTGAAAATGCGCCCTATTTTCCTGAAAAATATATGCAATTTTCCCAATTTGGCTCTGTTTGCGCGCAACGTACGGTAACGTTTTTTCTATCTACAGCTAACGGGATCTCCAGTTAAGATCAGGTCTTATCAATGTCACTATACTTCTTTAAAGTATGTTGAAGTACCATTGACTACAAAAATCCTGTTCTTCTATCAATTGATTCAGAGAAATGCCTTCTACCGGAGATCATGTCTGCATTACACACTTTTATATCCGCTAAATTGTTACAGAAACCCTCATAAGAATCGACAGGAATTTTCTTACTTCTATTTGATGATCAAAGCCGCACACTACCAGAATATTCATTTTATGGCAAAAATAATTGGAAACCTCGCTTTTTTTCGCATTGCGGTCTTTGAATAATATCGATGAAATCCTAACTGAATTATTGCATTTAAATTAATAAGGACTTCGTCGAGTGGAATGGTATGGATGTGAATGTTTCATGAGACGTTAGTTAACAATCTTATTAACGCGAGTGCGTGCAATCAATCAATTGGATTTATTTTAAATTAGCAAAAGTATCTCAGGAAGCTGAATGGTGTCACTTTACTTGAGCCATGATGGATGTCAAGCCAAAGATAACATTCGGAATGGATGTAGAAATAGTGTGAGAATGTTGTTGATTTAAAGCAAGTGGCTCCGCATTGAGAAAACTAATCTACTTTATGTTTTCGCACAGTGTCAAGGAGGATTTACGCTCTCGATGGCCAAAGTTTCACTTAAATCGGAGCAGCGATAGATTAATATAATAACAATAATAATAATAATTCTGAATTGAACCTAAGATCCTGCTTGAGTTTTTTCCACAATTATAGGAGGTTTTCAGCTACCGATGCAGAAAATTAATTTTCACAAGTTTTTAAACTTTGGCTCAAATAAAAGAATCTTTTAAAAGTGCATGAAAGCCAAACAAAATTTTGTTAGGGTTAAATTTAAGGAAGCATACGATCGATGCAAAATTCAATAATTTGAATGAACGCCTTGCACTGTCACCGTCAAATCAATAATAATCCATCTCCCGTGGCAACGCCACCAGTTGTTTCTCCCACAGAACATCCCCTCCCTCCAGGGATGTTCTGTGTTTCCCTTTTGTTCTCCCGGAAGTACCGCCGCACCGTCTCCTGTCCCAGCCATGAAGTAGTCCCAATGTTGCCACCCCCCGTCCTGGGTGTGCCCGCCCACCAATGTTGCCGCCCTCGCCGTGGTTGATCCGCTTTCCCAGGTTACAATTTCTAACTCGAAACTGAGAGAAGTACATTAGTTCAATTTTTTTGGCTGTGTAAAGGAGGCTTGATGCTATATATTTGAATAAAATTATCTAAATCGCACTCTCGGCTCAGTTTTTAGAGACTCTGAAACATCAGACGCACATCATCTACCGTTTGAAATTTGCATTTAAGCGAAAAAAATGTAACTGTGAATTGTTTGACTGAATTTACCTGATTTTTTTTTGGAATGTAAGACGAGTTGTGGGCTACAGATGTGGTAATTTGCATGTAAATCAGTGTTGCAATAAGAGCCATTCAATCATTAGGCTCGAATACGCAAAAGTTTGAAATTTGCACGCACAAAAATTTAATTTTCGGATTGAAGGCAAATATTCATGTGCAATTTTCGCAAAAGAAAAAACAGATCTGTAGGCGCAAATTGGACACAGTTCTGATTAAATTGGGGTTTTTATGGACTTTTCAGACACCTTCAAAGATCTGCTAACAGATATTTTAAAACATGCACTTAACTGAAAAAAAAAATGTCGCTCCACAATACAAGGGAGAATACGCTTGAAACGTTCTCACAGTATTAAGGCTGGGAATATGCCAAGTTTCTTTTCAATCGAATTATTGATTAATTTTAAAACGTTTTTGTACGAGCTGAAACACACTCTAATTCCGAATTGAGTGGAGGATTCTATTTGAGTTTTCCGCACAGTAGAAAAGATGTTTTAAGCTATTTTTCATAAGCTTTCAAATATCGAGTTCAAAGGAGCGAATGTTTCAACTTGGCGCACAATATAAAAAGGGGCCTTTTTTCCTCAATTCCCCAACTTAACGGCAGCAGTCGCACAACTAATTCAACAGATAATGAGGAAATTAAACCCGAAATCAATCAAGTATTAGTGCAGAAGAGTCTTCAGTAGTTATTATCTCAGCTAGAAGCCAGGCTGAAGAAAATGAAGAAAAAGCAGGGAAAAATAACATCGCTAAGCTACCCATTAGTCATTTCAGCTTTTTCTTATTCAAACTATCAAGTGCATAATTACATATGAATTAATCGAGCGATAGTAAGGCTCCAATACTCTCCAACGTCGGCTGTTCATTCATACGTTTGCCATTATAGACCTACTTTTATTTTGGCTAATTGTCTCTTCTTGCCATATTTCTTGGCAAATTGCTATTGTTATTTTGCTCGCTTTCAATTGTTAACGATTTGCCCAGCAAGGAACGAATTATAAGGAAAAATGATAAATAAAAACATGAAATAATGGGCTGCTGATGATCATTACATGGCGTTTGAGAGCGTAAATTAAGAATCCCCGAAAAGCTAATTGCCAATTAAAATCCGCATTTTCTTCGCATTGTTAATATGCATTTATTTTTTTTACAGAAGGGACCCAGCTGGTAGAGCCAAATTGCAATGCGATTGTATTTATTGCTGATGGCCGGCCTGTTGTCCAAAGGGGTAAGTTTGCTTTAAGTTCACTAGCTTAAAGCGATGATGATCAAACATTCAGTTGAAAGGGTGTCAGAGAACACAAAGCTATTTTTCAAGTGAACGGAATTTTTTCGATGTCTTCAGATGGAATGTCACCATACTAGGCGTGGTTCAGATCTTATACTGTTAACCAGTCGCTTAGAATTTCAAATGTCGCCTTTTGCTTTGGTGTACTCGAAGTGGGTGATGGAAAATTGATTGACACCACTGGCCTCTCGTAGTCCAATTGTTTAGCACATGTTTTCGGCACTGTATGTGGGCAGCGGGGAGTTTCAATTGTTAGCCTTTTCAGGACAAATCATCAGTTTCGACTCGGCATTTTCTTTAGCCATTAAAACTCGACTCAAAAAATTTAAAATTCTTCTTGAGAAATGGCCCAGCGTGTGTTTCAATGCTAATTCTGGAGCTTCTATGTTTCTTGGCTGGTTGCATACTCTTATATAACGAAGAGAAGCTTTGAACGGTTGCGGCTAAACATTGCGTAAGGAAAGATATGGATGATGACATGCAAAACCAAAGTAGCTGAGAAAAATGCAAGTAAATAAGCGAAAAATGAGAAAGCAGAAAATAACTTCTTCGCTCAATAGAAAAACGATCTTCATTCATCCAAGACTTCTTCCAGCGCTGCTTCAAGGTCCACTGTTTTCATTCAGTCTTGTAAGGGCGGCGGTAAATTTTTGCCAGTAAAAATCACTGTCGGACTATTAAATTACATACATATGGGCGGTGATACACCTGAGGCAGGCCCGGACTATAACGGTTTTATGACCAAGAGCTTTGGGCGACAAGTGACCCAAACATACATTTACTTTGCTTTGCCCATCTTGCCGACACTAGAGATGGGTATCTGAACCGATTATCTCTTCACGGCCATCTGATAAGAATGATTAAATTGTTAACATCATGTAACAAGACGCAACACTTCTTCAATTGCTCCGTCTAACCAAAATCGTTTAGAAACAAAAGTTCAGTCATATTTAATAAAATAGTTTCGGAGTCCAAATGGACTCAAGGGAGATGTGTTCTAGCAGTTTCATTCTAGCGGAATTTGCAAACAAACTTGCACTTTGAGAGGAAACAACCTTAAAGCCCGTAACTGTTCTTCTGCAACAGCCCAAGTAGTCTTCTTGCCTGCGTTTTCATGATTTTTTCTGGACATCGTTTCTTTTTCGTTTATACTCATTGTTGTCTTCAAACTACTGATGGCGATTTCTCGATAAAACACTCCAACACTAAGATGGAACTCTTCGGAAGAAATCCCTAGGTAGGTTTTTATAAAGCCCATTATTTYCATGTTAAGTAGCGCGGTTTTATAAATTGTTTAATGGCACAGTTGCACGTGATTACGCTGGTTGATTTTGATTATGACACCCGGTGATTTTATTTRATTCACGCTGGTATAATTATGATTTTTTTTGGCAAACGGCTACGATTTACTTGATCATTTTTTCCTTGATTCCTCYATAGTTTTTCCTCCAATGTCCTTTCGCCTCCATATACAATACTCCSAATATTCAGGCTACCAGAAGTAATAATTCTTCAATTAATTACTTCATTTAATTACCACTTACCAGACCTCATTAGCTAACACTAAACTTAATAAGCTGCAAATAGCACTATCATTTACGTAAATCACTGGTTTGATTTAATTGCATTGTGCGCTCCTATATTTGGATCTACAGGGGCAATTAAACATTATTATGTTGTAGTATACAAATATGCACTTGAAAACTAGCCGGTATTAATTTAAAGCAGCATAATTAGCGCAGTTTGGATTTTAATGAGAACGGCATTGAAACGCATATTTTATTATGTATACTAATTATTCGAGGTAAATATTGGGGAGCGCAAACCCGCTCAGTTTCTTTGACTAATTTATAGGGCAAAAGAAGACAAACGGCCCTGAAAGCCTCAATTAGTGTTTACTACGGGTATCGTAAACTTTACAAATTTATTACATCTATATCTGTGATTCTATGGCAAATAAATCTTCGCCAGTTTAAGCATATAAATTATCTGCAAGTGCAGTTTGCCTTCAAGAACAATCGATAATTCTGCCGCATTTGTTGACAAAAACTGTACATCATCGCAGTTAATCGTTTATTATAAAACAATGTTTTATTTAACAAGTTCACTAACTATACAGGGTCATTAAGGAATAATTTCCCTGCATGATATAAATATTTTTCTTAAATCTGATCGTTTCGGAGATACAGAGCGCTGAAGAAAATGTGCACAAAAAGTGTTTTTTTGTGGTTGACTCCTCCTAATTGTATATCATTGTATGCCTTTGGGCAATTATTGCAATTTCTCAATTAGTCAGTTAAAGTTTTTAGCAGGTTGTTGTGTATTGTGCAGATTTTTTAATTTTTTGAAAAAATCGACCCCCACCACCCATCAAAATTTCACATGCTTTTTTCTTGTCAAATTTGTATGGTTTTTTCATTGCACCGAAACAAATTTCGAAATGGATGGATTTTCGAAATGGAAATTTTCTGAACAAACTCAAGTTCCAAGCACAATTTTAGTGAAAATTACATGACTACTTTGTGCAGCTTTCCATTTAAAATCTCAGAAGCAAGATAAAGTGTGAAAAAATTACAAGAGACAAAAAGTTTCAAAAAAATCAGTGATTAGTACTGTGAAGCCCTTATTAAAAATGAACCTGGTTCAGCCTGTATATTTGCGCACAAAATTGCACAACTTCAAGCTTTAATCATCCCAACTCCATCATTCTGTTGATATTAATTGAAATCATTTTCATCAGCTTTACACAATGGCAGAAGAAGTAGAGGTGGTGGAAGCAGTGCCAAGTGAAGAAAGCGATGACCATTCGAACAAAATCGAAAAAGACGGCAACAACGACCAGATCACAATGGAAACTACTGATGACCAAGAACAACCGCCCAAGAAACTGGCCTATAACAGCCCGCCTAGGAACAACAACCCCATCAACTTACCACCACCTCCTCCTCCTAGAGGTAAGCATCTGGATCCTGACTGGTCTGGAAAACAGTTTGGCTGATTTTTCAGGCAATGGAGGCCAGTACTACAACAACCACAAGCCGTATAAGAACAAGCCAAACTACGAAAACAAGAACTCCTACAACGGACCACCTCCTCCACCTCCAAAGCAAGCAATGGATAAGTATGATAAGTACGGCCCGCCCAGCGGCGATCTCTGGCCCGCCCCTGTTGGAGACATGCCGAAAATAATATCCCTTGATGTGAAATGCGAGAAGAACTTGATGAAAGTTTACATCGGTGAGGAAGGATTTAAAGGGCAGCTTCCACTGGAAAAAGTCTCGTTAATGTTTCAGGATTTGATAAGCCTTTTTACGGAATAGTGTTCAGTAAGGGCCATTACAGCAACGTCCACTGCGTCCATTTGCCTGCTGGTTTAGGACGAACGTCCACGCACTTTGAAATTGGAATTCATGCCTGCGGCACATCGGGAAACACTGAAAATGGCCTGTATGGATACGGAGCTGAGAGTGGAAGTGGGACGTATTTTGAAAACATCATTGTAATTCAGTACGATCCTCAAGTGCAAGAAGTTTGGGACCAAGCGAGGAAGCTGCGATGCACTTGGCATGATCAGTATGAGAAATCGGTTACTTTCAGACCTTTCCCTGTGGAAATGTTGAATATCATCAGAACTGATTTTGCGGGCGACAATGTTGGCTGCTGGATGCAGATCCAAGTGGGGAAAGGTCAGTTAAGTTAAAGCCACCCAAGGACTTTAAACATCGGTTGAAAATTTCAGGTCCATGGGCTTCAGAGGTTTCAGGCTTAGTGAAGATCGGCCAAACAATGACGATGGTCTTAGCCATTAAAGACGACGAGAATAAGTTTGATATGCTGGTGAGAAACTGCATGGCCCATGATGGAAAAAGGGCCCCAATTCAGCTGGTGGATCAAAAGGGATGCGTAACACGCCCCAAACTCATGTCCAGGTAAATTTGGAGGTTTTCTAATGTTTCCTAGAAAATCGCTTTAACTTTATCCGTTTGCAGGTTTACGAAAATTAAAAACTTTGGCGCCAGCGCTTCGGTGCTTTCTTACGCCCATTTCCAAGCTTTCAAATTTCCGGATTCGATGGAAGTTCATTTCCAGTGCACTATCCAGATCTGCAGGTATCAATGTCCGGACCAGTGCTCAGAAGGAACCAACCAAATTGGGTGCGTTGTTAATTATTACACAGTGTTGAACGCAGGGCAAAAGGTCGATTTTTCCAAAAAATTCAAGTTCCTCAAATACCTCGAGTGATACATCATTTTCATCGGAAAGAGACAAGGAATGCAACGAGCTAATTAAAAGACACCGGGGCCTTTCCAGTTCCCAAATAA